TCTATCTATCTATCTATCTATCTATCTATCTATCTATCTATCTATCTATCTATCTATCTATCTATCTATCTATCTAATATCCATCCAATATCTATCTATCATCCAATATCTATCTATCTAATATCCATCTATCTATCCATCTATCTCTATCTAATATCTATCCATCTAATATCCATCTATCTGCCTACCTACCTAACCGCCCACCCATCCATCCATCCATCCTTACACAATACAAACACAAAAGGTTAGCAAAGTGATTTGGGTGGAACACTTCAAAAATTATAGAAACTGCTGCAAGAGTTGGAGCCCAGAGTGGGGCAAACGAGGGGTGGAGGCAGGTGTGGGTGCTTCACCTCTCCCACACAAATTTTTGTTGTCAGTCCAGGGATTCAAACTGGTGATATTCTGATCAGAGGGTCGCTTTCTCTAACCTCTACGCCACCACTCCTGCTATGGCTTTGAATGGCCAGATCTAAGAATCACGCTGTTTATAAAGTATTATTAAAAACAACTGGTTCAAGCCTGGAAATTTAAAAAATATACAATAAAATGTGGGGGTGGCTTCCAAGAAGGAAACAACGCGAGCTGAGGTGAGTGCAACGTAGCCAAGGTAGGCAATGAAATATTGTGCACTTCCTACAAGACAGTTTCACAAGCCATGCACAAAAACTGAGGCTGTGATTTACAAAATCTGGACATACAAAATGTGACCGCACTGCTTGCTGGTTACAAAAACTCAGAACTCAGTGAAACTGCAATAATAATAAACTCACTTGTTTTTTCACATTACTTGCAGTGGCACACTACCAAAAAGAGAGTTTTATGTTTTAAGTAATAACCAAATTACTTTAAGACAGATTTGTTGACAAAAAATTATGCAGTGGCAACAACAACAACCAAATATTCAACCCAAATAAACCAGATATTTTCTGAATTATGAATGCCAACTCCCAGTTAACAGTTTCCTGTTGGGGTACAGAGTTCCTCCATCATATAGACATGTTCAGGATTGAACCATCTGTTATGTGTCACAGCAATCCTTCCTTTACTCGTACCGCTCTGTCTGCAGTTTGTGCCTGCAGAGATGTTGTGAGAACAAAATATGATGCTCAAACCAAAGTCTCAAAAAACATATATTGCATTTCTCATATTCCCACTGTGTCTTTGTCAGCGAAGCAGTAATGTCTTCTCAAGTGAACATATCTGTTCTTTTTTACCTGATTTTTATATCATTTAAAGGGGGGGGGGGTCTGAATCAGTTTAATTATGCCTTTATGCACAGCACCTTCTTTTTTGCTTGTCATGGACTTTAAGTATTATTCCAGGAATTAGTTGGGTTTCAGGAAGCTCAATGAGCCGTCAATGTTTAAGCATTTGATTAAGTTTTAAAATGAAAGAAGAACGTCTGAAAACTTTATTTACTTGTAGCTAAATTAGTGTAAATGTAACTGTATACCCAAACGTGCAACTGTACTGACCATTAGCCCACAACCCCCACTCAACTCTCTCATCTATCCATGTTTCATTTTCGTCATCTCCATTTACTCATCCATCACGTTCGGGGTTCAGAACATTAATCCCTGCTGTGTCACCATCCTGTGCTGTTTGCCAAATACAAAATTTAATTTACAACTGTGCAGCACTGACATAAATGCACTAATGTCCAGTAGTCAGTCAGTCGCAAAGACACTCATGGCTATGGCTTCTTCTGTGAGGTCACTGGGCCACGAGCGAGAAACTGGGAACGTGAGTAAAAACATGAAGGAGAGGGGAAACAACATACAGGGTTTTTTTTTTTTTTTTACATGTATGCTTGTCAGGAAACATGGAAGTAAAAGTTGAAATCTTGCCAGGGACAAAAACTCCAGCTGCTCTGACAGATGTTAAATCCATGGAGGGACCATGGATTTGTTATATTTTAGCTAAGCGATCACTTCTCTATAGTTTTTAGTGGAAGTGCGGCCCTGAATGCAGTGACAGGGTTTGGTGCAGAATCAGTGTCTCCAAGTTAATCAGCTACTTCAGATCTTCACTATGTGACATACAACTGTACATAAATGCATGAGTGACATTAAAATCAGCTGATTTGATGAAGAATCATTTCCAGTTCAGCTGCACTAGAAGCCTAAAAGTCACTGGCTTAATAAGTACTGATACAGCTATTCTTGAAAATAACAAACCTAGAAATTACTACAACATTCCACCTCTAAAATCTAGTGTAAAGTTTTATTTTAAGCCTCTAGTTAGAATATTTAAAGGGCATGTTTCTCTTCTTTTAGCCAAATGAAAATAAATCCTGAAAATAAATATTACCGGTAGTTGGAATTTTTTAGCAATTTTAAATGTTTACTAAAGTCTATATTTTGTGTTTATAAAAGGTCTGACAATTGCAACAGTATAATAAAAAAGCTTGAATAATAATAATAATAATAATAATAATAATAATAATAAACATAAAAAAGCAATAATGTTAATAATAATAAAAATAATAATAAGCATAATAAAAATGATTATGGCAACGACGACAATAATGTCACATAATTCACTACGTGGTGCTTTAAA